AAGACTAGAGTAATGATGCTGAAAATTCAGCTTTGCATCACAGGAGTAATTTACGTTTTAGAATATTTTAAAATAGAAAACTGTTATTTTGAATTGTGATAATACCACTGTTTTTACTGTGTTTTTTATTAAATATTGGAGACTAGAAATGCCCCAAACTTTTGAATTGTCGTGAATGTAAAGATGCATTTATCAAAGGTGACTGAAATAAAAGTGAAAATAACTAAGGAGCAAAACTTTTTACAATTACAAAGTAAATAAAACAATTCAAATAAAACACATAATTACAAATAAAGGTGTTTGATATATTAGTTTTTGATTCAGTTTTGGTAATTCTCCTGGGGCGATTTAAAATTTGTTGTCATACATTAAGCTGAAAGACTATATAATTGTTCTTATTACTTTTGTTCTTGTTATTATTTTTATTATATGTATGTTTTTGTATATTTGTACATATTTATTTATATGTATATAATTTTCAAACAAAACTGTTATATAATTGTTTTGAAATGATATATATGACTGCATTGTGAAATTGAAATGTTTCCTCTCGCCATGAATATAGCCACTGCTACTGACATGGCGTTAAATCATAAATAAATAAATTCAGTTTTGGTATTGCTATTGGCGACTGAAATTTTGGTTTCATAAAAACTTTGCATTATGTGCTTCTTTTTGTCAAAATATTATGTTTTTGTTTTTAGCCCTTATATGTAATGATTTTTCTAATAGGCCAGCACACAAACCGATGCTGCAGTGGCTGGTATGCCATATCGAAGAATGTTGAAGAACAAAGCTCTCATGTGCAGACCTATTACTGAAGAGCAAGGCGTCCAGTGTCAGCCTGAGCCTCCAATTCCTCCAAATTTGTGCCAAACAGGTCTGTCTGCCTCACTTTTACGGTCACGCCTGCCACAAGTCCTTATGCTGTACTGTCATAAGCAATGTAAAATATGTTGAAATTACATATTGCATTTACACTTTCTCCGTCCTCAGTGATTTATGAAAATGGAGAGAAAGTGAAGCTGGTGCCAGTGCCGGTGCCCATTCCGATGCCAATCTACATCCCAGTCCCAATGCATCTATACACCCAGTACACACCCTTTCCACTGGGCCTACCTCTACCGGTATGTCATCTTTGTAATTACCTAAAACTATTCTGTGCTTTAGTTTAAAGCTCATCTTGAATCATTTTGTGCTGTTACCTCCCAGGTGCCTGTTCCCATGGTCATCCCTGGATCTCAAGACTCTGCCGAACAGAAAGACACTAAATGTAGCCTGCCTGCTCAGAGCTCAGTGGAAGACGACGATGTGGAGAAGGGAAAAGACAAGCCTGCGTCACACGGTGCATAAACATTTTATTACTATTGGACTTTTTACTTATCCAAACATTTCTATCCAAATAAACTCCTTAAAGGGTTAGTTCACCCAAAAATTAAAATTATGTAATTAATTACTCACCCTCGTGTTGATCGAAACCCGTAAGACTTTCGTTCATCTTCTGAACACAATTTAACATATTTTTGATTAAATATGAGAGCTCTCTGACCCTCCCATAGACAGCAAGGTAACTACCACATTCAAGGTCCAGAAAAGTACCAAGATGATCGACGAAGTAGTCCATGTGACATCAGTGGTTCAACTGTAAAGTTACTAAGCTACGAGAATACTTTTTTTGCACAAAGAAAACAAAAATAACGACTTTATTGCGAGCGTGTGGCGGCGCTGACCCAGATCCGGTGTAATGATGTCATCATGCCGGATCTGGGTCAGCGCCGCCACACGCTCGCGTCATGATACTGTCGTGAACGCGCGTCCAAAGTGACGCGGTTGAGACGAAAATGTGGAATAAAGTCGTTATTTTTGTTTTCTTTGCGTAAAAAAGTATTCTCGTAGCTTCGTAACTTTACAGTTGAACCCGGACTACTTTGTCAATCATCTTGGTACTTTTCTGGACCTTGAACGTGGTAGTTACCTTGCTGTCTATGGGAGCCCTCATATTGTCATATTTAAAATTTGTCAGAGAGCCCTCATATTTCATCAAAAATATGTTAAATTGTGTTCCGAAGATGAACGAAGGTCTTATGGGTTTGGAACAACACGAGGGTGAGTAATTAATGACAGAATTTTCATTTTTGGGTGAACTAACCCTTTAAGTACTTCAGTATTTGATTGTATGAGGATTATTGTCTTGCTCAGACCAGGGCAGCACTTACAGTGGTGATTTGGAGTCAGAGGCCAGATCAACACCCTTCAGCTGGGCAGATACTGAGGATCCTGGAGTCAACGTGAAGCCACTGGTGCCATCGACGGAACTAGAGGAACCGGTAGCTGCTCCGACCACGTCTTTGTCATCAGAGCAGCCAGATCTGGAAAATGATTTTCCTCGCTGTAAGTTACGATTTAAGAAAGGTGTTAATTGATTAAAATATTTAGTTGCAATTTGTTATTTTTTTTAGTTAAAGGGGTCATGATGCTGCTAAAAAGAACATTATTTTGTGTATTTGGTGTAATGAAATGTGTTTATGCAATTTAAGGTTTAAAAAAACACATTATTTTCCACATACTGCACATTATTGTTTCTCCTCTATGCCCCGTCTTTCTGAAACGCGTCGATTTTTACGAAGCTCATCGTTCTGAAAAGCGAGGTGTGCTCTGATTGGCCAGCTATCCAGTGCGTTGTGATTGGCCAAATACCTCAATCGTGTGACGGAAATGTTACGCCCCTTACCATATTGTGATGATGCCCTGTCCGGCCGGAGCGACGAGACAAAATCATTAAAACTCATTATAAACGAGGCATTTGTTGCATCCAGTGGGGACATAATTACGGATTATAATGACTTATACTGTCTTTTTACGCGTTGTGTTGCATCGCACCGCGTAAACATAAAACCATGTCTGCATTTGTGATCGGAGAAATGACAAACAACAAATGCTACTCTACACTGCCCAAAACTCGCGTTTGAATCATCAGTGGCAAATTCTTTAAATATAAAAAAACTTACTTACAGTCTCTGAGTCAGAACAGCCGGCATTGTAGTCTACTCTACCAGGATCAGGAAACAGTCCTCCATAAAATGCGCTGGACACATCGGAATATTTGGGTTGAACTGTTCTGGAACAGTGTTGTAAATACAACTTAACCACTGATTTCTAGTCGTGTCCTCTTTTGGAAGGCCAAACAAAGTAGTTTCGCTTTCACAATGAAACACAGCGTCACACACGGCGGGCTAGAGTGAGCGGAGGCCGGCTTGAGTGAGCAGCGGCGGGCGGGCTTGCGGCAACCACATGTGACGACCCCGGGCTGGACTCCGCTTCGTCCACGGTGAAAGCCAGTCTGACGATCCACAGCGCGAAGTTGATGTATTTCCTCGGCGACCAGCACAGATCAGCTCCAGGCATGACGAAGCAGATATCGTCCTCTTTTGGAAGGCCAAACAAAGTAGTTTCGCTTTCACAACGAGAAACGGCGCCTTCACGACATGGCGGCAGCAACAATACTACAGCGAGAATAAAATTTACGCCTTCTTTCTTTGCGTGAACATTTGGGCGGCATTATGCAATTTTTCCCACATAGTGATGTAGATATGTGGGGGCGTGTTAGAACGAGCCGTTTTAGGTAGGCGTGGTTGACTCTTAACTTTTATAAAGAATATCTCTTTGGATTTGAGTCTTTGCAACTTTACAGATCGTCTTTATGCACCAAGAGCTTGTAACACTTCAAAGAGAAAGAAAAAATTTAAATGGCATCATATGGCCCCTTTAAACATGCCAACATCTTAATGATTTGTGCTTTTTGTGTATATTTTGCTTTTTGTGTATATAATTCTGTGCTAACTTAAAATAATTACTTTTTCATTTTTCCAGCACTTTATGCACTTTATGGACTTAGCATTCATTTATAGCATGTTCTTATGCTCTTTTCATTCATGTTTGAACAAATGTGGGTAATGGTTCATTCTTGATGTGTTTTGATGATATTTGATTAAAAAACAAGTGATATTTTTGGACTGCAGTGCATGAAATGTCCCTGATGCTACTAAGATGTGATTTAATGACATTACACAACTTTGATCTCTTGCGTTAAAACTCTCTAAATTTTAACAGATTTTGTGTTTTTATAATGTGTAAAATCTCCCAAAATTATAACACACATTGTCATTTTGACAGCATCAGCTGACCCTGGATCAGCTAAAGAGAACAGACTGGTATTGACGCTGAAGAGACGTAAGAGGGGCAGAGACAGCCACACTCCCAGGAAAAGGGTATGTAATGTAAAAAAAAAAAAATTTGTCATGAGCGACAGAACGACAGAGAATCGGCCAGAGTCTTTTTGCAGTTTGGAAGGTTGAAGTGTGAAGTCTGTTGAAGTGGGTTGATTCCCAACTTTTAGATGAACGATAAAGACTGAAGTGTTTCCAAAGTCTCTTGTCCAAATATGAAGTCTCCCAAATGAAAGGTTTAGCAGTCTTAAATGTCTTGTTTTCCGCTTGAATTAGTTATCATAATGGTTCTGAAAGTGTATGGTTTGGTAAAGACTCAATTCATGTCAAATGACAAGTTGATCCGTATAGTGTTGTCACGGTACCAATACCAGTGAAAATCCACGGTTCTCGGTACCAATTTCGGTACCGAAGCAAAACACAAAAACATGCTAATTGAACAACATTTTTATTAATAACGTTAAACAAAAATTAAATGTACCAAACCAATGCTATTCTTTATGCTTATTTAAAATTGTTTCAAGTTTTTCCACAAGTAATAAAAGTATGAAAAAAGTAAACAAGTTTCACCCAAAAGTTTAGTCATAGTTCTGCTGCCACTGAAAAACATCTGTAAACTGTTGTCTGTTTTAGGGTTTGCTGGTGTGTTTCAGGATCTTCCTCAGTCTGCAGCTATAAAAGGAAAATATAATATACTTAAGTAAAGCAATGGGCTGAGTCTGACCAAATGCAACATGAGATCATTGACACCAGCTAAAATATAACTTTTCAGTAAATAACAAACCTCAGCTTTTATAATACATTTAGATAAGATTATATATATTAAGTGTATATCAAATAGATGGAAACTGTAGTATTAAAAACACTATACAATACGTTTTTATTTGTTAGATAACATGACCTAACAATAAACAGTAATTATTCTTCTTAGGGTTAATTTCAAAGTTCAATCTGTTAAAATTATTTAATGCACAATGAACAAACATGAATGATCAAGTGTTTGTATTAAATAACATTCACAAACATTAATGAATGTTTTCAAAATATATTGTTCACTCACTGTAAGATGTTACTAGATCTAACATTGTACAGTAAAGTCTATACAGGAGATACAATTTGACTGTACTTATTTAATCCAAACTGTTCATATTTAATTTTAAAGGGCTTTTTAAACCTGCTAGAGAGATATTCAGCCAAGAATTATAACTAACTAACAAAACAAAAAAACTACTTTTTCTGACGGACTGATGTGACATAAACACTGTTAACCATACATTTGTACATTCTCTAACACGCATATGTTGGTTACACAGTTCATTTAAAAAGCCTCTGGCGTGTAAAAATAGTAAATACCATTATGTCCTCCTGTTTTTTTTACAGTAATAAAAGTTATAGGAGCATTAAATAGTTAAAGAAATCATTTTGAACAAAATGAACAAAATTAATTCTAATGCTCATTATATTAGCGTTAGCCACGCTTATGCTAACGATTAACTACGTATACGCTAACGGCGATGTTTATTTCAATCCGAAAATAAAATTAAAATATGGAATAATATTCATAACAGAAGCTCTAAATATTAAAAATGTAATTGAAACTTACCTGCTTGAACTTGATCGGGGTGTTTTGTTAGTTTGATGCGTTTCCTCTTGAGGTCGCCACTGCTTTTAAGAAGAGGTTGCCAGGTTTTCACAACAAAACCCGCCCAATAGCGTTTCGAGGGGATCCCCCATTAAAAATCGTGTTCCGAGGATAAAATACACATGTATTGGCGGGATTCCCCTGGTAAAATTTGCGTTACAGGGGCTAAATATCACGTTAATGAGGTCGTTTTTAAACCCGCGGACATGGCAACACTGGAAGAGGATAGCTTTCGGATAGTGCATCAAGAACCGGGTTGACTGGGTACTCCGTACTTAAAGGGGTTATATGATGCGATTTCAAGTTTTCCTTTCTCTTTGGAGTGTTACAACCTGTTCGTGAATAGATAAGATCCCTAAAGTTGCAAAGACTAAAGTCTCAAAACCAAAGAGATATTCTTTATCAAAGTTAAGACTCTGCCACACCCCCCTAAAACGGCTCGTTCTAACACGCCCCCACATATCTACCTCACTATGTGGGAATATTTGCATAATGCGCCCAAATGTGCACGCAAAGAAAGAAGGCGTGGTTTCAGTAACCGCAGTTAGTGTTGAAGCAGCCATGTCAGAGAGACGCTGTGTGTTTCTAGGCGAAAGCAAAAGCACTTTATTTGGCCTTCCGGAAGTAGATGCATTTAGGAATCTTTAAGATCACTTACAACAGAACAGCAATGCATTTTATGGACGACCGTTTCGTGAACCTAGGAGAGGAGGTAATTCTGACTTTGCTATGACAATCTGGCGCTTCTGAATCAGCTACTGTTTTGTTATTAGTTTAAGTATTTGCTATTGACTGTTCAAATGCGGAGTGTTG